AATTTGGGGTCTATAGTGCATTTTCTCTATCTTTCGTGCTGTTCGAACCATTGCCTTGCTATGTATTACAATGTAATTATTGGCATGCAGCAATAGGTGGCTCCTTTTCCCAATAAAGTACTGGGCTGGGCGTGATAAATTGGATCGCCTCGCCTCTGCAGCACTATTCTCAATCCACTCTTGCTTGGCACTTCAGTTGCTGGTCATCCGGCTGTGTAATCCGGCAAATTTTATGGTGATAGCCACATTGTTAATAAAAGTGACAATTGCGGTTAGACAAGAATTTACGGTTGTTTGGGATTGATAGAACACGAACGTGGCTTTTTCCTCACCCTTGGATCCCTTGGTTGTCCAGGCTTACATCTGCTGGGAGAGTGGCCACAGGCATGGCTGGGACAGGAGGACGGATCTGGAAATCAAGTTTACAGGAAAAACTGGCAATTCTTTATTTATTTATTATTTTTGAAGAGGGTGAAGACACGCTCTGTCGCTGGAGGTTTATGCCATAGTTACAGGAACTTTTTATATTTTTGAAATTACATTGACCTCTTTTACTTTTCTAACATTATCATAATATTCCATTCATTAAACATGGCCCAAAATCTTGTAGGTGAGGTTTGATTTCCCTAATATAATTTTGCAAAGTATAAAAATTATCATTTGTTTTCTAAACTTTTCAAAAATTATATGTGGATGTCTTTTCAATTACTATATAAAGTTCATAAACTTTTTATACAAGGTCAATCAATTATATGAGGTGGGAAAAAATATCCACATTGTTCTTTTTTTTTTTTTTTTTTCTTTTTTTTTTTTTTTTTGGTCATGAGAACGAAAATCCATATTGTTTTAATTAATTTTAAAGATTGAATTGAAGAAAAAAAAAAATAGTTTAAATGAAAGAAACAAAGATAAAACATAGGGAACTCTAACTATTTCAACTAAAAGTTTCAGTTTTTAATTATAAATGTGACAAATTTGTTTGAATAGTTTATTATTCATCAAATAATTTAGTGACTCTTATTCCATTGTTAACTATTTTTAATTGTTGTAATCTAGGATTATGCATCCAACTTTTTTTTTTTTTTTTATGGGTCAAAATTTTTTTTTTTTAAATTGAGAGAATATTGTCTGGCCATTTTTTTTTTTTTTTTTTTTTTGTCTTATCACAACTCAATATAGATTTTAAGGACTCAAATAGAAAAACACTAAATTTGAGAAAAACATTGGATTGTGAACAGATAAAATGATAATTTACCTATATGTATAAATAAGCAAGTTAAAAAAGAAAAAAGAAAAAAGAAAAAAGAAAAAGCAACACATGATATTTATAATGTAGCATTGTAATATTTACATGTTCATGTTTTTCTATGAATATGAAAATTTTTTATATTTAAATTTTTGCTATTAAAAAAAACTATTTTTGATGTACATTATATATTTCAAAACAAATATATGTGTGTGTTTAGTGAGTGCATGGTGTTGAGATGATGGGGCTGAGCAGTGATGGAGAGAAAAATGAATGAGAAAAAGAGGGAAGAGAAACAAAACAAATTATATGGCATTGTTAATTTGTAGCGGTTAACCATGGAGGAAATCACGAGAGAAGAAAAGAAACAAGGAAAGAAAATGAAAACATAAATTGGAAAGAGGAATGGGTAAATGGAAAACTGATTTGAGAGAGAAAAAGAGTTTGATGCATCGCAAAAATGTGAAGATAAAAACATGTAGCAACAAGAGTATGAAAAACTCTTCTATAAAAATCTGTTAAATTCAAAACTATCAAATTATAAGAAAATATAGAAGAATTCTTTCAAACGAAACTATAATGTTAGTTATCAAAAATATAAGTAGTCATAAGACTTACAATCTTTTATTATGATTATGACCTTAAAACCAGTTAGGAAACAACCAAATAGGTAGTTCCTTAATTAACACAGAACCAATTAAATTAAAATAAGAAAATTACCAAAAGAAAAGAAAGAAAAAATAATGTTCATGTTAGACTGGATAATCAAAACTTTTTTTGAAAAAGGCAAAATTATTGAAACTGAGGGCCTAAACATATGGAATTCACCTAAAATTTTACCTAGGTCTATAATAAATAAGCTACAAGTTATGATGTCCACCACGTTTCACATGTCTTCCATCAAATTTCTTGCATTATGAGTATGGCACTGTACGGGGGTGATTTCCGCACTATGAAAGAAGGTTGAACTTCGTGGATGAACAGCAGGCTTTGGAAATTGAAGATTGCACAGGAATACACAAACGGTGAGGCTGCCCGACCGGGTTTTGGTCGGAAACCCCTCCGATGGTAAAGTCAGGGACTCAGGGAGAAAAAGAGAGGAGAGAATAATAAAAGTAGTATATGTGTTCAGTGTTGTGAATTTCGATCCCTTGAGAGTGAATAGTGTTCACCTTTTATAGAGAAGTGTTTGTTTGTCGTTCAAGTCCCTTCTCTCTCCGCCATATTCTGTCAATGTGTCTTATTCGTGGTCGTCGTACCTATTGGAGGAGGACGACCACTCAGCCTGACACTCGGGTGCAGGTTTGTTTTGTTTGTCTCATTAGGCGGACATCTCTCATTGGAGTCGAGGATGACCAACCGTCCTGCCATATCAGATGCAGGTCTGTCATATTGCACCTTGTCCCTCTGCGCCTCCATGTTCTCCACGTTCTGTTCATACAGAGGGGGGAGGGAGGGTTGTTTGTCTCTTGTGGGCCTAAGAAAGATCTCTAGTGAATTGGCCTTCTCTAAGTTGGTCTGGCTCTAGAACGGTTGTCCAACCAGGAGAGTTCCAGCATGTTTGCTCAACCCACTTCGGAGTGGTTTCTGTCCATCCAGAAGGTCCACCATGTTGCTCGTGCCCACTTTGGAGTGACGCTCGTACATTGGGCCAAAACTCCTATGATTGTCTTGCTCGGAGCAAGTGTTGCCATAGGGCTGAGGTCCGACCTAGCTCCACTTGGAGTGAAGCATTACAATGGACCTAGCACCAAGGCTTGATTAATTTTTACCCACTTCATGCACATCACTTTGTCTTATTAATGCTTTTTATCTTGTTTATTCATGTACTTATTCATATGTTCTGAGAATTATATGGTAAACACTCTGTGTACAGAGAGAGCAAAAAGAAATAGAAATTTTTTTTATTTTTTATTTTTTAATTTTTAGAGGGACAATGTGAGTTTTGCTGGAATTGAGAAGTAGAAGAAGAAAAAAAATAAGGAAATGTGAAATAAAAGCTATGAAAAGAAAGATGGAAAATGAAGAGGGAAAATGGAAGAGGGAGACGGAAAACAATAGAGAGAGGTCAATTACTTGAAGGAAGAAATGATATGGGTCATGATTCAATGTAATTGTGCCCATAGGATTATAGTAGTTGAGGGACGTCTTTGTAATTATGTAAACCTCAAGGGAGGTCATTGCTAAAAAAGAGATGATGAAGGGCCAATTTGACATTTTAATACGTTCTGTTAGGTATTCTACGGAATGGATGATTAAAAGTGAGAATAATTACAATAGTTTTAAAGTAAAGAAAGTCATGTAATATTGAAAATATAGGGAAGATCTCTAAAGTTATATAAATCTCTAAAGAGTTAGTGTAATTACAAAACAAGAAGGTCCATATAATTACTAACACCATTTTTTTTGGGACAAATTATACTGTTGGTCCTTTACTTTAGTCCTTATATCATTTGATTCCTATAATTTCAATTGATTTTGACCTTGAATATTTTTCGATTTTGTACAATTGGTCCAATTCCTTCCAATTGTTTAGCATTTTTAATGGCACAAATGTGCATGTGAGCGGCATGTTTCATGCAATGAAAATTTTGCGCCAAAAACTTAACGACG